TGCCTTTTTCCAGTGTTCAATTCCATCTTGAACTTTCATCAATATCATGACCTTATAGTCTCAAGAGATTAACAAATGTCCTTTTTTTTTTTTTTTTTTTTGAGATGCAACTTGATCCCTTCTTCTTTGACAAGGATCTTGAATCAATTTAGAACCTCTTCAAACCTCAAATAATTTGTGCCTCTTGCGAGTGTTCAATTCCATCTTGAACTTTCATCAATATCATGACTTTAAACCTTACAATCTCAAGAGATTAACAAATGTCCTTCAGTGTCCTCTTGAACTGTCGTTAATCTTTTCCATCTCTGATGATGCTTTAAATTTTGTGAACATGTTTGATTCACCCATACTATCATCAAGAATTCAATGCATTTACTTGTCATTCATTTTTTTTTTTCAAATGTCAAATCCTACATGCAAAAATTGATGATTTTTGAACCTTTCAAAGATGTTGAAATCAATTCAAATGCAGTGATGTTTAAAAGAATCATGGGTAAGATTAACAAAAAATCTTGCGAAGCACAATGGATTATATGAACAAATAATGTGATTTAACTTCCATGAGTAACAACTATCAATTTGGCTTAGAATACAATTAAGATGTCCCTTTCATAACTTTTTTTTTTTCTCTCTCTCTCTCTCTTTCTTTTCTTTTTTTTTTTTTCCACAGCAACTCCCAAAACACAAATTTCTTCTCACTTTTTGCTTTTGAATCTTCCTCTGTTTTTTTTTTCTTTGTTCAAAAAGAAATTGATCATATTTCACAAATGAGCAAATTCCTCAAGAATAGCTTTGTAAGAATTTCAAATAGTGAAAGTGCTAAGTGAAATTTTGAGTTTTTCAAAAATCAAGATTTTGGCTAGAGCAATGAATTTTCCTTCCCATGAAATCTCAACTTGTTTGCCATATTTATTTCTATTCATCTTCCTTCATTCTTTCTTCTTCTTTTTCTTCTTCTTTTTTTTTTTTTGAGAAATATCATACTCAGATTCAACAGCTTTCAAATTCTCTGATAAAGGCTTTGAATAAGCTTGTATCATGGTTTAGGGCTTGGCTAATTAGAAAGAAAGGACATATAAGCTCAATGATAAAATCCCTTCTGCCCCCCCTAATTTCACTCTTCACACCCCAGGTTCTTGATGTAGGTACATTCAAAGAAATAATCATCATGGCTTTTCTATTATGATGATTGCCTTTTGTTTTGGCTTAAAGTGGGTAATTAAGGTCGACTTTAGTGTTTGGGAAATAGAAACAAGGCCTTTCGTCATTGAACCTAAAAGCTCTTTAATCTGAGTATGATTTGCTATCCCTAGTTTGGTGATTGCTATCATCAAAATGCCTACAAATATCCAACCCTCAAAAAGGACTTTTATAGATTGTTATAGGGCTTAGATATGGCTACTGAAAGAATAGTCAATATAAGCTCGAAGTACCCAATTTGCCCCCCAATTGCATGCCATGTCTTAGAGAAAACTTTCTTCTCCTTTATTGGCTCCTTTATCCCCATTTTCTTCTTATTCTCCCTCATTTTTTTTTTTTGAGCTTCCACTTTTTTTTTTTTTTTGAGCTTCTTTCTTTCTTCCTTTCAAAATAATTTTTACCAAATCTTCTAATGAAAGTAACATTTGCCCCCAGTTTGGCATGCAACCATATTCCCAAGTTGTTGAATTGGTCATGAAAGAATGTTCATTGAAATTAAGCTCAAAGTCTTTAATTAAGGGTAATCTTTCAAGGTTTAGGGAATAGAGTTTCAAAAGGAAGGCCTTCTATCCTTGGATCTTCTACCATAGGCATCAAAATGATAACAATCACCTAACAAAGTTAGCAAAAATTCCATCATTTTCATCATCTTTTTTTTTTTTTTGGTTTTGTTCAATTTGTGGCAATTCTTAAATATGATTCCTTGGCAAAAGTTTCAAATGGTAAGGATAAGGATTCTCAAGCTTTCTATCATAGGAATGTTGGTTTCAAATTTTGAGATCAATTTCTCTCATTCCTACTCATCCATTATTTCTCCCTCAATCACTTCCCTCGTTTCTCAAACTTTCCTCTTTCCTTAAGCATCAAGTTTTTTTATGAGGTTCAAAATTGAATTCAAGTTCATTAACAATTGAACTCATGGAAGTATAAAATCAAGAATTGAAAAACTATGAATTAAAACATGAAGAACAAAGATTCACATTGCAATGTGAAAGGAGTTTGGAAAATGCAAATGAAAACTAACATGATGGACACATTTTATTCCAAACTAATAGTAATAGGGAAAAACTCCATTGTTCACTTATTCAAGCCCTCATCAGTAGCAGTTCTAAGATCAACCTTGTTTGAATGGAACTGTAAGCGCTAGTCCCTTCAATATTAAAGGCTATCTAGAAGTTGATGAAACTTGATTGGTGAGAGTAACCGTAGCCACCTCTTGACCTTCCTCAAAATCCTTCTCAATGATATTGACTGTTGACCAATCGTGTGTTGGTAAGGGGTTTTTAGTGATATTTGGACCAACAAGTTCGGGTTCTAATGTAATCTGTAACTCCTTTGCCTCTATCAGATCTTGGATACGATGCTTTAAAGCAAGACAATTTTCAAGGTCATGTCCAACACCTCCACTATGGTATTCACATCTTGCTTGTGGGTTATACCCTGTTGGAAATGGTGGATTTAATGGCACCATAGGTATGGGAGTAACAAGACCAGCTACTACCAATTGTTGAAACACTTTAGTGTATGACAAAGGAAGCTTGTCAAAATGTCGTCTTACTTTTTGTTGCGGACAATTGATACTAAAGGCATAAAGTGGCCTTGGCTAACTTGAACAAACTGTCGGTTGATAGGTTGCAGCTTGGAAAGAATTATTGAATTGGCCTCGAGGACATGGCTGATTATGTCTCCCATATGTTTCATAAACTGAGCTTATAGTGCCATTTTCATTCTCCTTGTTTTGATTTTGACCCACTTTCTTCGAACTAGAAACCCCTAAACTACCATTTTGGTATTGTTCAAGGATACTCTTCGTTGCTTGATAATCCATGATAATTCCAGACTTGATTCCATCCTCCACTTGTTCTCCCACAACAACCAATTGGGCAAAAGTGTAATTCACACAAGTTATTAACTTCTCACGATAAGGTCTTTGGTTGACTTGATGAATAAATTACTTAATTCATGATTAGTTAGTGGAGGTTGAACTCGAGCAGCCAATCCACACCATCTCTGAGCAAATTCCTTAAAGTTCTCACTTCGTTTCTTTTCTGCCCTTTGAAGATCTTCTCTATTAAGAGCTAGTGATGTATTGTGTTCATATTGCTTCATAAAATTGTAAGTCAAATCATGCCAACTTTTGACCTTACTTTTGTCTAAAGTAGAGAACCAAGCATCTGCAGGACCCGTCAGACTGTCCTGAAAGTAATGTATCATTAGCTTCTCATCATTGGCACAAGGAGCCATCTTCCTACAATACATCATCAAGTGGGCATAAGGACAACCAGTGCCATTGTATTTTTCAAACTCAAGCAATTTAAACTTATGGGGTAGTTGAATGTTTGGGAAAAAGCACAAAGATAAGATGTCGACCGGTTTATTGGTTTGGACACTTTGCATCGATTTTAGTGTTTCCTCTATCAACTACACCTTCGCTTTAATTGCCTTGTCTTCATCCTCTGTGATTGACTTGTCAACTTGAGTCTCTTCTTGATCATTAGACTGGGTTGTAGCAACACCAGCATTTAGATCAAATGGCTTTATCCCAGAAGTTCCACCAATAGTTGGATTTGGTGGGCAAGATGACATTGGCTCCTTTCCAAGAGTAGATATGGCGATAGGGAGATTTGCCACAGAAACATTTCCTTCAAACAAGGGATTTGTAGTCAAAGGTGCTCTTGTGACTAAGGTTGCTTGGAAGGAAGCCATCAATTCCTTCAAAGTATTTTCCATATTTTTAACATGATCTTCCAAAGCTACCTTCTCTAAATTAGCTTCGTCAGCCATATTTCTTGCAAGAGTTCTAGTGAGAATAGGTGAACGAACTCTTGGATAATTCTTTTTAGGACCAATCTTTCAACATCTAAATAAAATATGAGCATTATTAACAAATCATGAATTTATCTAATTGGCATTTTGAAAGAAAAGTTCCCAATGAGTAAACCTAACTTCTAATTATTTATTTTAACACATGGATTCTTCATTGTCAAGAACAACTTCAGCCATTTGTATGTAAAGGAAATGAGAAATTAGAGCCAAGCAATTGTCACGGTAGCCAAAAACATGAGGAGATTGCCTCCTTCATGTCTTTTCTTCTTTTTATTGAGGAATTTGCTTTTTCTCAACATATAGAATTCAAGAAAATGTGAAATTTGACTTTAAATGCTCAACCTCAACCATTTCAAAATAGATATCATTGATCAACTTTTGAATTCATTGTTGGGTGACTAAATAATAATTGAAAACATTTTTCAATGGTGAGCACAGATTTAAACTCAGAAAAAAAACAAAGCAACGAAGACACAGGACATAAAATCTTCGGATTGCCCTAATGATTTCCTAGTCCAACTCTACTTGCAAGACATCAACTATTCTACCAACTTTCTTGTCAAACCTCACTTTGTCAAGATTACTTAGACTATTTCAAGCAATAACCAAGTCTTTTACACAAGGTCTTTTGGTTTGCATAGAGGATACATCCTTGTGTGACTTGTTCCTCTTGGATAACGGCGGAAATTGTAACTCTAAATTCACCATTTTCCTCTTGTTGATTTTTTTTCCAAAGAATTCATGTGTAAAATAATCAATTACCTATTTATTAAAAAAAAGAAAAAAGGAGAGTTAATGAATGTCATACCTCTTAGTTGAATTCCTCACCTAAGAAACACAAAATCATTGTTTAAAAATAAAATACTCCCCACATGTCCTATGTATAAGGTTCTTAAACCTTGAAGGTGATTTACTAGGCTGGCCGTCCTAGGGTTAAGTTTTGTCTAAATCCATTACATGCGGTTTCCTAGTGGATCCTATACGATTAGGTTTTTTTCAACTGCTAACTTCCATAAGTCAACAATTATTGACTTCCATAAAATCAACAATTATTGACTTCCATAAAGTCAACAATTGCCAACTTCTATAGAGTTAAGAAGAGACATTTCATGACCTAATACAGCAGCAACAATATGGTTGTCAGGCCATATTAACCCACAAAATGATCCTAAAAGGGATAAATCTCACTTCACAAAGAAAGCATTGCGCTTGTCATTGCTCCATGAGTGATCCATCTATCTAGAGGTCGAGTTCACCTCGTCAAAGACAAAAATGAGATGCAAGTGAGGTGTGTGAGGGAGTATACACACAGTGAACATATGAAAATAACAAAATATTAAATAAAATAACTAAATAAAAAAAAACTTACAAAATACTCCATGCCACCTACAAAACAAAAGTTAGTAATTGAAAAACCCCCAAAATTAAAGCATAAATGGCTTGATCCCTCAGTTTCCCCAGTGGAGTCGCCAAACTGTTGACGTGCCAAAATGAATGGAGTCGCCATCTATCCAAATGAGGTAGGATAGATCACCAAGGTCTTCGTAGAAATTGACTAGGTTTGGAAGGTCGATTAAGCGTGGGGAAGGTGTTAGGCACCCCACAAACTTCTATATAAATATGGTTACCACATACTTTAATTTTGGGGTATTTTTAATTTTTATAAAATAATAATTATCCAAGAAAATAAAATAAAATAAAAACTTCAAAACAAAAAATCATTGTCTTTCTTTTTCATTTCTGTTTTTCCTCATTTTTGTTTTCAGTTTCT